GATCTCAATTTCAGTGAAAATAATCGTGATTATCATTTTTGCCATAATCGAGCAGCCCTAGTTTGTAGCCATCCAGGGCACTGTGTCAGATTAATCAGCATGGCTTCAGTGGTTGCTGGGTGTGTTGGTATATGCATGTGGGTAGTTCAAGTGGTTTGGCCACATGTAGATTGAAAGTAGATCTTCACTGCACATACCGCAGGGGGCTACTTTGGCACGAGTGTGTTGCTACCATGGACTGTATATCAAAGATGGATGTAGGTTCTGCATCAGAAAGGTGAAGCCAATGCAGAAATGCTTCAAACCTGCATTATTCCTAATGGCTGTCAGTAATGACATTTCAAAGTCTCATTGAGTGCAGCAGGCTGTTAATTTAGTAACTTACAGGCCCTATTGGAGTCAAATAGAGCGGAGTGCGACTGTCAACTGCCTGCTCGGCATCTTGTAGTTTTTCTTCAGTTTCTCAGTCAGATCCACCCCGCATTTGGCACATCTGCTTATAAAAGTGCAAGATGGCAAAGGCAAAAATATGAAGTTTGAACCTATTCCGACATGACTTTGACCATCTGTCATAGAGACACCTCTGATGTAAGTACTAGTAGTTTGTGTCCTCTGGTCCGTCATCAGTGAGTATGGGGTCTGTGCATACGCCTGCACTTTTGTTTTGTTTCCCACACCATGTGGACTTGTCCAGAGAATTTATCACAGTTTCAAATAAATATAACAGGAATGACTAAGCAGTCGTGTTCTATAGAGTCTGATCAAGTCTTGAAAGGAGAAAATACAGTCCAGTAACAGTAGACACCAGGAAATAGGCTGCTCAAGAAAATTATTAAGACGGCAAACGCACTTAGGACAAGTAAAGATGGACAGAAACATCAGCCTTTTTTCTTTCTGACAGTTTTGAGTGTAACTGGTACACTTATACACTTTTCATACTCTGAGGTAATCTACCTGGAATGTACATTTATATAGAACCTGCAGGGCAGCACAGGATTACATCGTTTTTTTGTTTCAAGGCCTCTGAACATTGGAGGATTGCAGTATTAAGTGTTGTGGCTTTGTGTCTGCGTTTAACATGTGTAGTCCTTTGTCAGCAGCTTGGCTGTGGATTGAGATTTCGGCGTAAGGAGAAGGCTGTTAGCTTGTACATTTGGAGGATGTGGTGAGTTGACCAGTTTAATTTTGGTTCAGACGGTTTTGTGAGTTGGTTGGCGAGACGATACGCGCTGTCAGTGTCGTCGTCACTCTCTTTACTCGCTCTCTCGTAGCTCCTTATCTTCCTTTGTCTGGTGAAAGCAGTTTACAGTTGATTGGCTCTGGCTGTGTTTGCGTGTGTGTGTGTCTGTGAGCTACCTTGTGTTTGTGCTCACAGCATTTGGTTTGGAAAAGCCTATTGTGGGATTTTTGCCAGGGGATGGCTTAAAACAAGCTTATTAGGCCACTCCACCATGCTGGCCCACACCCCAGAATTAAGTGTGTGTGTGTGTTTCCTTGTGTTTGCACCGATGTTTGTTGGTGTGTCAGAGTTTTAGTTATGTACCTTCCACATAAACCACCATGACTAAAATAGCCATACTATTGTTTTGCACTTAGGTTGTTTGGCATCCCCTTTATGTTTTGTTTTTTTGTCTCTGCCTTTTGAACTTCTATGTGTAAAAGAAGCGGTAGGCTATGGTTTGTGACAAAGTGCATGCACACACACAAACACCTACACACACTCTTTACCTCATAAATAATTGACCTGTCAGAGTGAAATGACATGACAGAACAGATACTTTCCCCTCCTCCATTCTCTTTTCTTCTCTCAAATGTCTCCACCTTTATCTCCATCTAACACTTGACATTAGTCAGGTTGTAGTTCCTGACTTTGGATATGTTTGCAACAGCTATGTTGTATTTAAAAGACTTTTTTTAAAGCATTGAAATATGAAACAGAAGAGGACCAAAGATGGAGCCTGGACTTGCTCTTGCTTTCATTTGTATCTAGACTCTGGGTGTCACATGGGGTTAATCAATAAAATCTCATGAGTGGTTACAGTGATGTCATTTATTGCTTGTGCAGTTGTTTTTAGCCTCATGCTACTCAATTAAGTGCAGGTTTGGAACTTGTTTGTGAAATTGGCCAAATGGTTACATCGAGTCCTGAAATGCCTTTTAAAAAGTACAGGAAATGCTCATCTGCAGACAGCCGACAACAGAGGCCAGCACTAAATGGTCGGCCTGGTGTGTCAGGGCTAAAGATTAACCATGCAAAGTGGACATTTATTTTGCCAACTGCCTTGCTATCCTGTGGGTGTAGGTCTGGGTGTGTATGTGGGGCCAGGAAACGATCCCACCCTAGCAACCTTCCTACTACACACGCACACACAGATGCACTGAGCCTTGGACAGAGAGACCCTGAGTATCAGATGGCTCAGTGTCCTGTTGAAGCCTGATGAAGATGTGTGTTTTGTACTCAGTCTTCACTCTGTGTGTTTGTAGAGGCTCAGGTTACCACAGTTTCTCCTGCCTTTTTTTTCTTCTACATTTTTATTTTTTAACATAAAACTTAAACAAATTAAACTGTGTAAAAGTTGCAATGAAGTTGAATTACTCAAAAAAAAATTCTGATTGCATTTTATCATACTTTTGTAAGACCATTTAAAGCTCACCCATCTCTATCGTCCCTCCTTTGTGTCCCTGCAGGATTTCACCTCAGCGGCACAGTGACCGAACCCGCCACATCGTCTGAGCCGGAGGTCACCCACAAGGTAGCCATCAGCTTCGACCGGTGCAAGATCACCTCTGTCACCTGCGGCTGTGGGAACCGAGACATATTCTACTGCGCGCATGTCGTGGCGCTCTCACTATATCGGATTCGCAAGCCCGAACAGGTAATAACCACAGCTTTGTGATGCTTCCTTTCCATTGGGTTAACATTCCCTAACCAAAATATGCAACACATTCCGTTAGTGCTACGATCAGTGATGGTTTCTCTTATGTTTATCAATGCTGGTTACATCACTCAAAACACAGTAGAGGCTGTAGTGCCATGAATCAAAGTGGCTCTATGCACATTTTCAGCTCTGTGCTCTTAAATTTGGACTCTACTTGGGTAGCTTTGCATCATTCACCAGTCAAAATGTATCGATTATACTTTTAGGCTAGCTTTGTTCTGATTGGCTCCCCTACAAAAACACAAGGTTTGAGCAGCAGCTGGGTAGAGTTGCATTGCTCACAGCCTGAGCTTATGTGCCTGTGATGACCATATTAGGGATTCCACTCTCTCTCTGACATCATACAGAGCCAAGAGTTGGAAAAATAAACTTTCTGATAAGCTTTTGATTCACCGGGATTATTTGTACACATTAATTGAAACTTTTTCCAAGCTTAACACGAGCATCCATCACTGTGACATTATGCAAATAACTGTGCAAATAACTGAGAAATCCAAGAAGACATCCACCACAGTTAATACAACGTGGCTCTACGTACCTTTGTGTCCAGATCATAGACGGAGCAAAAGATGGACAGAGTTTCCAGGTCTGAAAAGTGAGGCCAGTGCCGAAATATCTTAAACCTGTATTCTTTTTTTAATGGGTGCAAACGCCTCAGAAACATGATCTCTTTAAACACTTTCCTAGTAAGTTTATGGCTTCAATCACTGAATTTGATTATATATTGAATAAAACATTTAGTCCAACAAAGTGTGATAGTCGGACCTGCTCCTCTTTCGTCACATGTGGTTTTAAAACACTCATCCCGAGGCTTCAGAACACTTCATCCATCTTTTTTAATATGTTCTACGGACCAAATTAAATTAAATTAATTAAAAACTGCCCTGAACATTCATAGTACAACTGGATAACCGTATTATAAGGTACATAAATCATGTCTCATGAGCTCAAAGACCAAATTATGTTTCCACCTGGGACTTTGCATTTAGAAAACTTTACAGTAATAACATGCAGTTGACACACTGGACACCCACTTGTGTTTGTTGCAGGTGAAGCTACGGCTGCCTATCTCAGAGACTTTGTTCCAGATGAACAGAGATCAACTACAGAAGCTGGTACAGTATCTGATCACAGCCCACCACACCGAGGTGCTGCCCACTGCTCAGAAACTGGCCGATGAGATTCTCTCTTCCAACTCTGAGATCAACCAGGTCCATGGTGAGAGCACAAACCACATTCCACGCCAGGTTTTCAATGCCGTAAATTCCTGACAGTCATTCGGAAAGTTACAGCTCTTTCCTTAATTCTTAAAAAGTTCTTGCTCTGTGGAGGTGCTGCCCATCCCTCTGCAGCGATATCTTCACAGCAACAGGCCACACTTAAAAGCCTCGCAACTTGAAACATGCTGCACGCCAGCCTACAGGCTGTCATACGTCAGAGCCCCTGATTACTCCGGCGAAGCAGCAAGGCAGGCTTCAAATGGCTCGTTTGATTTCTCTGTTCTCACTCTCCAGTCGCTACCTCCTCCCACTGGCAGGGGTAGGTTGAAGGAAGCCCAGAAAAAGGGACTCGAATGATGAAATGGATGCAGGAGAAAGCGTAGGGAGAGATGTGTGAAGAGGAAAGGGACATTGAGAGGAGGAGACAGAAGCAATGGCACTCTGGGAAATGGAAGAGAGGAGACGGAAAGGAGAAGGAAACATGAAAGGGCCGGAGAAAGTAGAGGGAGATTAAAAACGAGGAGAGCCAGAACAGCTCCGCGTCGGGGAAACGACAAACTCTACACATCCTTTCGCCAAACAAACCTCTTTATCTCCTTCTCTATTTCATCCTGCCCGCTAAATGTTGACACACTCCAGCTCCCTCGTCCAGGAAGCCCCGCGCTGTGCTTCCTGTGTTTGACAAGGGGGATCATGGGGGTTGAAGTTCAGTTGATCCCAGGCGTGAGTCTGGCTTTGATGGAGGAATGTTGCTGTTTGCCGCGGTGTTCTTCCAGCCAGTTGGACATGCATCTCTGGGCTTTCCTCAGCTCACTTCCTGCTAGATCAAAGCCCCCCCCCCCAATTTGGTGCATATCTCCATTTCCCTGTGGTATCAGTCAGACACACACAGAAGAAAAATAAAGTTTGATTAATCATGCACTCGGGGGGGGAAAGCAAACACAAGCAGCATTTCTTAGGTGTCGTGTAGGGGCGCTGCAAGTTAAATGTTAAACAAAGAGGCTTGAGAGCAGAGGATCAGTGCCAAGATTCAGAGAATTCAACTTTATTTCAGGATAAAAATTTCCAACTATCCTTCAGCACTGAGGGATTACATTTGAGATGTAGTGTGTTTGTACTGACCTAAGAAAATGGTGTTGTTGCAGCTGAGGCTGTCTTTAAGTAAACTCCCTTTCCCATGGTCACTGTCTGTTTATCTTTTTCATCCCGGGGTGTGGATTGAGGACAGGAAGGAATGAAGTTTTCATATGAATTCAGGGCTTTTGTTAGAATCCATGTGCTCTCTTTTTGTATTGTTGCTGTGTGCATGTATTGCAGCCACTGTAGGATTCACTGGCCCTGTCATTTATTTGTGTGTGTTGTGTGTCTGTGCGTTCTCAGGTGCCCCGGACCCAACTGCAGGCGCCAGCATTGATGATGATAACTGCTGGCATCTGGATGAAGATCAAGTCAGGGAGCAAGTCAAGCAGTTTCTGTCGCAGGGAGGTTACTACGGCTCTGGGAAACAGCTCAACTCCATGTTCGCTAAGGTTGGTGTCACTGCTCCCTTCCTCTGCATCGTTTGAACATTTATTTGTTTCCTCTGTTTTGGCGAATCTAAGCAGGAAAATAACTACATGAATAATACGTTTCTCTGCAAACATAGTGGAAATCTGCCCACTGCTACCATAACAGCTGGCTAGAAGATGGTGAACATAGCAGAGAATTTGACAGCAATTTATCCACACCTACTTAAATGTGGGCAATCGCTAAAAATAAAAAGTGTGCTGCAGTTAATTCAGTTTTGAAATGTGTCACCAGAGAAAACCCCAACAACTCCTATGAGAAAGCATTTAGCGACAGTGGGAAGGAAAAACTACATTCAGGGAGGGGCAGCCATCTGCCTTGACCAGTTAGGGGGTGGGGGGGATGGAGTCAGGACAAAGGACACACTGTGGAAGAGACCAGAGATATAAGAACAAATGATTGAATGTGTGTGTAAACACAGAGTGAAGAAGAAACACTCTGGGAAGCCTATTGCAGCATAACTAAGGAAGGGTTCAGGCATCACTAAGTTTGATCAAATGGAAAGTTTTAAGCCTGAACTTAAAATTTAAGACCGTGTCTGTCTCCAGAATCCAAACTGAGGGCTGGATTCACTGAAGGTGTAGGCTCTGCCTCCGATTTTACTTTTAAATATCCTAGGAACCATAACTAAGCCTGCACTCTAAGAATAAATTTGATTTAACAGGGAACCAATGAAGATAAGCCAATACGGGAGAAAAACGTTCTCTCTTTCTAGTCCCTGTCAGCAATCTCACTGGGATCATGTGAAGGCTTGTCAGGGAGCTTGTAAAACAACCTGACGATAGTAATGAATTACAATCCAGCCTAAAAGTAACAAAGACATGAACTAATTTTCATCATCACTCTGAAATCTGATATCTGGCATTTAGTTTCTAGTGGTTTGTAAGTATGTAAAAATGTTCTATTCAAGTAAATATATGTGCCTGCAACTCCTGAGAATAACCTTTTAATATCTGCTTGACAATATCTTAATTTTCTCAATTAGGCCTGAACAGCTTTCCAATTGTGGTTAAATATGAGTCGGTGCAGATGTTTTCTATGCTTTCTCTTTCCTGACTGAAACAAGCCCACTTAACACATTCTGATAAGGCCAAGTTCTCAATTTCAGGGCCAAACTGTTTCTTTTATTTGGTTTTAATTGGTATTCAGAATGTTTTGTAGAATACATGCATCATGAATCGCCAAAAGCCATGATCTGTCTTTTGTATTAGTTCGAATTTCAACTTCGAGGGGGGGGGGATATGATGTCATCTGAAATGGTAAATGGACTGATTCTTATTCTTATATAGTGCTTTTCTACTCTAATGAGCACTCAAAGCACTTTATGCAACTTGCCTCATTCACACATACACACCTATTCACACAAGCACTTTTTTCTGTGCTCCTAATATGCAAGTGCTTTCTATCCGACATTCGCACACATTCACACTCCGATGGATGCATCAGAGAGCAACTTGGGGTTAGTATCTTGCCCAAGGATATTTGGCATGCAGACTGGAGCAGACGGGGATCGAACCACCAACCTTCTGATTAGTAGGTGACCTGCTCTACCGCCTCCACAGCCACCCCGACACAATGTAAAAACAATGTTATGTTTAATGTTCTAAACTGAAAGTAGTAAGTGGTTTTCATACCCAACTTTCCAGTAAGAATGCAAATGTGCACAAAATGTCCAAACTTTTTCTCTATTGCCAAGTATGTGAACTTGAGATGTGTTCTGTCTTTTTCTTTGCCTCCACCTTCTGCTTCAGCCTGTGTGATTATTCTAAGGTGCAGGAGGTACATGCTGCTCAGTCAGACTATTGTGTTACTCACAGTTACCAAGCCTGTGCTCTTTCCAGGTGCGAGAGATGCTGCGAATGCGGGACTCCAACGGTGCCCGAATGCTAACGCTCATAACGGAACAATTCATGGCAGACCCCCGACTGTCACTATGGAGACAACAAGGCACAGGCATGACGGACAAGTGCAGGCAGCTTTGGGATGAGCTGGGTAAGAACAGTTACACACACAGGGAGAGTGCGATGTCTGACAGTTTTAGTTTGGAAAAATCAGAAGGGATCGGCTGTGTAGTTGGTGCAGTCACAGCCCTAAAGAAGTCTTCCTTTTGTTGTTCTGACAAATTTCTAGTCACTGTGTCAGGTAAACATCCATCTACTCAGTAAGCTATTAGGTTATCCAGTCAGCTGCTCCTCCTCATGCCCGGGCCTCTCTCTCCACCTGCACTGAGTGAATGATAAAGGCTGCCGATCAATATGGCTGCTCAGCTTCTCCACAATCAATCGCAGTATTTAGGAGGTCAATAAGAACACTTCCCGGGTGAGCTGGGGAGATCATGACACAGACGCAGACATGACAGACAGACAGTCGGAGTGTGCTGCCTGATTTTTCTCTGATATGTGAAAGCCTGCCAGTTAAAACGCACAGATTTACTTAATTTTTTTTTCTTTTTTTTTTGAGAATTGTTGCAGAAGAAGAACTGCTGGGTTTTTAAAAAGCTGGTAAAGTTTTTCAGGACAGCAACCACCCAGATAGTTTTGAATCATTAATGAAATGTTCATTTTCTTGCTTAGCTTATCAAGTAATTTACACTTTGTCTTAGTGCAGATCACCTTAAGCCTACTTTCTTCTGATTGGCTGCACCTGGTAAACAAAATATTTGAGTATTTGGTCAGTATAGTTTCAAAGACATGACCATATTAGGGATACACCTCCCTCTTAAAAGCTTTTGTTATTAAGAGTCTGACATCTGATCCCCTTACTGTTCACAGGTGCATTGTGGGTGTGTGTGGTGCTAAATCCTCACTGTAAAAGCGAGGAGAAGAGTGGTTGGTTGAAGCAGCTGAAGAAGTGGGGGGACATGGACATCTGCCCACTGGAGGACGGCAACTATGGCAGCGAACTTCCCAACATTACCAACGCTCTGCCGCAGAGCAACCTCGCCCAGGGTCAGCACCAAAACCACAAATGTGCACACATTAAATTCTGAGCTTACTGCAATTGCAAGCAAGAACTGATCTGAATTAGCAGAAAGATTCTACAACTTAAACAATATAGACTGCACGCGCCTCGTTTCTACCAGTAACCATGCTTTTTGTGTGTGTCGCATCAGACTCTCTGTCCAGGCCGCGGAGGACTGTGTTCAGTCGGGCTGTCGAGGCCTGCGACCTCCACTGGCAGGACAGCCACCTGCAGAGGATCATTAGTAGCGACTACTACATGTCTCCGTCCTACCAAAGAGAAGGGGAGAGCCTGCTGTTCAGCCCGCAGGGCCTGCCACTCTGGCTAGGTAGGGTTTCATTACTCAGGTCCAGGAAAAGCAACCGTATTTACCTTTTGCATCATTTACAGTCTGTGATGTGTAAAAGTGCACATTCATGATTTAGTCAAATAATATAGGCTACAAACATGCACTGAGGAGCAGACAGTTTCTTCATTACAAGGCATCATTTTCAGGACGAATGACAGTGTTTGTGTGTCAGCTTGTACACACACAATCTCAGATTCAGCTAAAAGCCAACCCAAAACACACACACACACACACACACACACACACACACACACACACACACACACACACACACAGTAATTCTGCTGATATTGAGGCCAGTATCTGCAGTAAGCAGCTTCCAGCTAAGATCTGTCAGATTCTGCAACTTAAGCCAGCTATCAGACACAGGCTTTCTGCTGAGACTGCACTGTGAGTTTGGATGTGAGTTTGAGTCTGCGCATGCCATTACTAACTGCATCATACATCCTGTAGTGTGTGTGTGTGCGTGTGTGATTAAAGTGCAATGTGTGTATAGGAAGGAGTTTGTGTGCTTGTGAAGGTATCCTGACCTCATCTTATTTCTATGTTCACCACACAGACCACGTCCCAACGGCATGTGCTCGCGTCGACGCCTTGCGCTCACACGGTTATTCCAGAGAAGCCCTGCGATTGGCCGTCGCCATCATCAACACCCTCCGCCTACAACAGCAGAGGCAGATGGACATCTACAAACACCAAAAGAAAGGTAACGGCATTGTTGGCTCTCTGGAGAAAAGTGAAGCGTCTCAACTGGTGATTCTAATGTCGGTCTCACCCCCTCCTGTACCTTTCTCAGAACTTCTCCAGAGGGGTGTTACCTCCACGACTAACCTGGAAGGCTGGGTGGGCCATCCGTTAGACCCGATTGGCTGCCTGTTTATCACGCTCACAGAAACGTGCCGTGTTGATGACGACAACACCATGGACACTGGAGGTACGAAAACAAAGGCACCGTCCTTACCCTTTTTATTGTATTCAAGATGTCATCACAGCTGGGTGTCTAGTTTGATGGCAGTTTGCAGTTCGTTAATCACAAAGATCTGCAAAGATATACAAGTATATCTTTGAGTATATGAGGAACATGTCAAATTAAGCTTTTACTGGTTTGTGTGCTTTACTTATTGGATTTAAATAGCTAATAATTATGATAAAATGGCTAATAAACAAGTAATGGCTAAATATTTTTCACTACAAGGACGTCTAAAAACCTGTTCATACAGAGAAAGGTGCTGAGTCATTATTGTTGAAAGTATACTAGACTGTGGTGTACAGAGTTTAACTGCTGAGGCAGCATGATTGCATAGAATATCTTTACAGTCAAGGGCTATAAAAGTGAACTCCTTTATGGTTAGAAGACAGACATTGCTAATACTGAATGAAAAGCCAAGTGTGACTTTTTTCCCCCCTAATTTTCTGAACCATCCCAACTTAAATATCTTTTCTGTAAGCCAAATTCCTAGGTATTTGTAGGGCTCAGAAAGAGTTATGTGGGTGCCATTTACAGTTTTAATTGCAAGGTAGTTGAAGAGTCAGAGGTAGAAGTAGATCATCTAATCATTATCTGTGGATCTAAAACAAGTCTGTGATTAAAGAGTGATGACTTGAAACTGAAGATTGCAGACTGAAGGTTAAAGCCTTGGGCATATAAAACGCATCACTAAAACTAAAAAGAATGAAGGCATACACTGAAACATAGCTTAGAAGTAATAATATAAACTGCAGTGGACCTAGGATAGAACCCTGAGGCATCCCATTTTTGATTGTAAGATAGCTTCAGCAACAGCTGCATGTTCTCCTTAAAACCAGTTATAGTTTGTGGTGTAAAATATGATGGACAGTCATATCAAATTCTTCAGAGCTTGCGCTGCACACAACTGTTTCTTATCCAGTTTGGAGACGGCAGTTGTGTACTGTAGCTGTAATATGTGTAGGAAGTCAATACAGGCACATAGTTTTACATTAATTAGTGATTTCTTAATTTTTTTGGCTGAGAAGTTCAGAAAACCTCTGCTTTCATGTTGAAACATGCATTTAAAAAAAAAAAAAGATTCAGTCTCTTTGCGTCTGCTGTTTAGTCTGCATCACTGTTGAGCCAAGCTTCTGTCCAATACATCTACACAGCAAACCAACGTCTTAACATGCACCTTAGCAAAATACATACATACCCATGAGTCAGAGCCCAGGTTTCTTACAACTATACAAAGAGCCCATTTACAAAACGCAAGGTATAATTTCAGGCCCACATCACCAGCTGATGCGGTATATAATCCTAACCAGAGGTGATCGGGTTCACCAGCAGTGACTCATCACACAACAGACGCCATGGTCTTATATGAGGACTAGGCACTATTGTGCTGCAGGCAGCCATAAACTAGGAGAGCATGAATGGATTGGGCTGGAACACCCTGCTCATTTAGTCCAGACCACACTCCTGTGCGTTCATGTATTTGTGTGTGTGGGGTATGTATAGAATGTATCACCATTTGCATTTTCTCACTGCCCAGGGATTTCTTTTTTTTCCCTTTTTGCACCAGTGGCTATTGCAACTGAACAGAATAGGGGTTGGGTTTTCTCATTGTTACCAGGCTACAGGGAACTATTGTCAGTTCAGACAATGCTGACCACTGGCACACTCATCTCTCTCTCTCTCTGTGTGTGTGTGTGTGTGTGTGTGTGTGTGTGTGTGTTTGTGTGTGTGTGTGTGTGTGTGTGTGTGTGTGTGTGTGTGTGTGTGTGTGTGAGAGAGAGAGAGAGACTAGTGTCACTTGACAGAAAGAATGATTGTTTTGTGTTGTTTGGGGAATTTGAGGAGAGTGGTATGATAATTTTGCGTGCTTGGGAGTATAGCTTGGTCACCATGTTTTCATTCCCCATGTGAGACAGCTGGGAACATCTGTTGTAAAGTGGGTGGATCTAGACTATGTCTAACCCAATCGAAATACGATTCCTTCTCTGGCCTTTTCACATCAACCAATCAATCTAGAGGGAGAGGAAACAACAGCAAGTTGGCTAAGGGGTTAAGTCTGTAAGCCCGGTTTCCACTTTTCTCTAGATTACTACAAATATATACACACAGGATTTGGGGGCGGGGGGGGATCTCTTGCTCAGGCGGGATTTAAGCAGAACGATGGGAGGGGGAGCAAGAGAGAACAAATGGGCACCAATCAACAGCTGAGGCTCTTGTGGCATCTGTTCTCAGTTATAATTGTCAAGCATTAGTGTAGGGCAAGCAGCCATCTTACATATATGAACAACCTACTGTCTAAGCCACACTGATATAAATGCTATACAGTGTGGCTTATATGGCACACACAAATACAACAAAAATCTGTGTATTTTTGTTGTATTTTTTTCTGCTATTTTATTTTCCTCTTCAAATGCTAGTCCTACAACAGATTATAATTTGTTTTTGATATGGCAGAGCCATTATATATGCACCATGTAGCCATTCCTATAACCCATTAACTGTATGGTTTAGTAATGTGCTAAGCTTGCAGGCTCTGACTATCCTTAACAGTAATCTTTTATATACTACTAGGCAGATAAAAGTGGTTTTGGTTCATATTGTGATAATTTTCTATTTTCTACACATTTTAAATAAAGGTTAAAAGCATCCCAGAACAATCTTTTATGTTTTATGAAAATCCTTCTGCTGGAGTTGTTGTATTGATAAAACCAGAGCAATATTATGTACTTTACTTTTGCTTATGCTAATACGCTAATGGGGTCTAGTGGAGTTTCTCTGAATTAGCCAAATTAAATAGCTTGTAGACTTCTAAAGTGAGTTTGTGGGGGCAGTTTGGGATGTTTTTGTGCTGTGAAGGTAGTGTACCATAGCAAAAACCTAATCTTCTCTTTGAAGTAATAAAGCTAAAATTAAGAAGTAACTATATTTAAAGTTTTTTCCCATTTAGATTATAAACAAGGTGATTGGAAGCTGCTAGGGCAGCATGTCAGTATTGGATAAGATGGACTTCTGAAACTTTGCTGTTATGAAAGGAATCTTTGCTGAGTTGGTGTCTTTGTTTTTCTGTCTCCTTGGATTTCTTATCATTCTGAAACCAGTATAGATGACGTGAAGTTAATGACTTACATTTTTGGGGGAATCTTTTTCCTTTTAGACTGTGACCCCAGACCTCCAGTTTACCATCATGTGCCAGTGTGGGGCAGTCCAGATGCAGGGGAGTCCTACTTGACTCTGGCCTTAGAGGTGGCTCTGATGGGTATGGGTCAGCAAAGGATCATGCCTGAGGGACTGTATGCCCAGGATAAGGTAATAATTTAATATCACCTTAAAATCATAGAGAATATAGTAGAGTGAGGATCCTTGAATTGCTAGTGAACACCGAAATACACCTATGGCACACTTTTATTATATAAAGAGGTTTGTGTAAATTTGTAGATGTCACCTTCGCCATCAGTAAATCACTGTAATTTATGATTTTGTTTAAAGTAAATGTCATGGAAGGAGAGGGAAAAGGTCGCAGCATTTGTTTCCTGAAAAACAAGCAGAAAGCCACAGTACTTAAGTTCACTGTGATTTAAAATAAATCCATGGAACATTTCTTTGTGTAAATGCTAATCTGCTTTAGAGGGCTTAACACTACTGCCACAGACCTTTCCTAATGTCACTGGAATTAGCTGCAGCCTCTAATGTTTCAACCAAGAATTGCATTTAAAACCAGTCACATGCACACACTAGATATTTTTTCCAGCGAAATAAATTTCTATCATCTGTGCTGTAACAACAGATGTGAATAGATGCAAGTTTGGTCATTTAATGTCCTAAGGTCAAAACCCTTTCTTAGAAAGGTATTAAAACTCTTTTGATCTTTTCTGTCGTATCATTTTTCTTGCTGGTGGGTTGATACACATTTTCTTTCTTGAAATTCTTGAAAGTAGTTGAATTCCACTGAAAACACTTAATAGCTAAATGGCTACTTCAGAACTGAAAATGTTCTTATAGTTAGAGTGAGTGCTATTTGTGTCTTCAACATGTTCTAGGTGTGTCGTAATGAGGAGCAGATTGTTGCAAAGCTTCAGGAACTGGAGCTGGACGATCTATTGGTTCAGACCCTCCGGAAGCAGACCATACAGCTACTAGAAGGTACGGTGTCTGCAGTAAATTTTATAAATTTCATTTATTTATTTTGTCCAATATTAAGAACATTCATCAGATATTGAAACCTGCACAGTTTTGAGTCCAGAACGTGAAAGGTTTTTGTTGTGACGGTTGTAAAGTGTAGCTTGAAAGCTTTGACTTCAATATTTATTCAGTGCAAATCACAATCGGGCAGTGGAGCCCATACCTAGCACAGTGGTCTCTTGTGGCACGTTCTTGAGACAGAAGGTAAAGAATATTTTGTTTTTCTCTTTGCTCCAGCTGGCCCATTCAGCGGTCTGGGTGAGGTCATCCACAGGGAAAGTGTTCCAATGCACACCTTCGCCAAGTACCTGTTCTCTGCCCTCCTGCCGCATGACGCAGACCTGGCTTATAAAGTGGCTCTCCGCGCCATGAGGTCAGACTCCCCTTTCACTGCAGCTTCAAACAGTTATTGATGAAAAGTATTTTATGTTGCGTGTGTAAATGATGGTAATTTTGCCTTTATGCAAACAGCGCCACAGTAAAACAAATAAGGGCCTCTATTTCATGACATGGCTTTTTTAATCTGAATAGTATTCCAAATTAATTCAGAAGATATGACCTAACGGTTACTTTGTGACAGCCAAAGATTTAGTGCCACATATAAAATAGCCAACTAGCTATTTAAGTGTAGCCTGCTCACAGCTGCTATGCATCTGCAATATGCATTGCAACCCACCTCGACACCTTCTTTTATGCTTTATCTGACGTACTCTGTGTCATATCTGTTGTCACTGATGCCAGCTCTGTTCTGTGTAGCTATAACTTCTTTAGAGGTATTGGTGAACATTTGGGTTGAAAGTTGAAGTTTTTTATAGGGCTGTTGTATTGGGTGTGTGTACAGAAGTAATTGTTTTTGTTATGCTTTGGTAATGTGTCGTGTTAAATTGCCATGTGTCCCAGCATAAAGTTTGACATAAAAGTAATACGGTTGCACATACTGCAGCTGTAACTGAATGCATACTCAGATCCATATTTTAGTGTTACTCTTGGAATAAATAAAACATCAGGACAAAGTGCCATCTGTCTAAAACAGATCTTTTACTACATGTGCCAGGTTGCCGGTTCTGGAGTCATCGGCGGGCTCTGGGGATGTCGGCCACCCTCATCACGGTATCTCCATAGTTCCGAGCAGATACCCACGCTGGTTCACACTGGGCCACCTGGAGTCACAGCAGTGTGAGCTGGCTTCAACCATGCTCACTGCTGCTAAAGGTAACGCCAGCTTATTGAATGTCCGCTCAGATGTTACTCAAACAGGCAAAGCTGGCTATTGAGGCATTTCTCCATCATGATCTTAGTTTGCGTTGTGTTTTTTGCTTGCAGGCGACATGTTGAGATTGCGGACGGTGCTGGAGGCCATCCAGAAAAACATCCACTCCTCTTCCTTAATCTTCAAACTGGCCCAAGACGCCTTTAAGATAGCGACACCCGCAGAGAGCCCACCCGATATAACCCTGCTCAACGTGGCGCTGGAGCTAGGACTGCAGGTACTGTATGTGTGTGTGCATGGAGAGAGTGCAGTCGAAGTATGAGGGCAAGTCAGTAATTTTCACAGATCATTTCACCACAGCAAAGAAAATCAAATCAGAGCACCGATCGCCAATCAAAACATGCAACGTTTTCCTTCACCTTGTCATTTTTTCCAGCCCTCTGCTGCCCCACTACAAATTAACAGCAAAAACATCACACAGAGTCTTACTGTTGTTGATGAGAAGAAACCACATAATTAAACCTTTTGGGTCCCACAGTAAACACAGAAAAGTCCTCAGATCATCAGGCTGCAGTGACGCTGTGGCTTCCCCCGTCTTTCTGCTGGTATTTAGAGTATCGGCTGAATTCCTGTCAGCAAAACTGCTAATAAAGTGCTCAAAATGGAAGGGTCGCAAATCATCATCTGTGCAATTATGAGCATATTCTGGTTACATCTGTCATCAGAGGAGCCATGTGGTGCCATGCAAACAGCTAAATTATGAAAATCACACACTACACAAAAATGCTTTGATTTCCAAATGCACGTATTCATGAAAACTGCCAAGAGGGTATAGAAATGTGTAACGGTTCAATGGCGCTAACAGAGCGCATCATGTTCTCCATGTGTGTTTTGCAGGTGATGAGGATGACTCTGTCCACTCTGAACTGGAGGAGGAGAGAGATGGTTCGCTGGCTGGTAACCTGCGCCACTGAAGTCGGTATGTGCATCCGTTTTTAAAGCAGATTCATGCTCTAATTACAGCCTCCGTGCTGCGTTGTGATCTTCAGTAAGTTCAGCTTTACAGTTTCTTTTGAGCTGAAGTGTCTTGTTAGTCTAAATGAGGAGGGATGAACGATGTTTTCCCAAAAGAGATTCCCTCATTTGATCTTTGAAGACAAGAGGGGCTGCATGACATGTTGCACCATCAGTTAAGAAGTCAAATTTATGCCTCCATAATCTTTTTAAGAATAGAGACTCAAATTATACCAAGTGTAATGAAATGATTTAATGATTTTAGTAACTTTAGCAATTTGGGACGATTATAGGTCGAGGTACACATGGCTTCATTTTCCAAGTCCTCCTAACTGAAAAGCTGAGTGTGAAGTGCTGCTCTGTTTTCTCTTTCCTTAATCCTTCAGCTCAGTGCAAGGTGCTATACAGTCGTTTGGTAGTGACCAAGAGGCTGCTGTTCATGAGGAATTTGAGTGTACCATATAAGCTATAGTAGTGCTCACTCTACATCTGGACAGCACTTCAAAGTGCCGAGCTTGCTGATGTGAATAGTGAGCAATTCTGGTCACAAGCACTGAATGGTAAATCTCTTTTTTCCTCTCATCAGGTCTGCGGGCGCTGGTGAGCATCCTACAAAGCTGGTATACTCTGTTCACGCCCACCGAAGCCACCAGCATTGTGGCGGCCACCGTCATGTCCCATAACACCATCCTGCGCCTCAGCCTCGACTACCCCCAGCGGGAGGAGCTTGCAAGCTGCGCAAGGACCTTGGCCCTGCAGTGTGCCATGAAGGACCCACAGAACTGCGCCCTGTCAGCTCTGACGCTCTGCGAGAAGGACCACATAGCCTTCGAGACGGCCTACCAGATCGTGATCGACGCGGCGTCGACGGGCATGACCTACTCGCAGCTGTTTACCATTGCGAGGTACATGGAGCACAGAGGATACCCCCTGCGGTCGTTCAAGCTGGCCTCGCTGGCCATGACACATCTCAACCTGGCGTACAACCAAGACACTCACCCAGCTATTAACGACGTGCTGTGGGCCTGTGCGCTCAGCCACTCACTGGGGAAGAATGAGCTTGCGGCTATTATTCCGCTGGTGGTGAAGAGCGTGCACTGCGCCACAGTGTTGTCTGACATTCTACGGCGGTGCACTATGACTGCGCCGGGTCTCGCTGGAATTCCTGGGAGAAGGAACTCTGGGAAGCTGATGTCCACGGATAAGGCACCGCTGCGCCAGCTCCTGGACGCCACGATCTCGGCGTATATCAACACCACGCACTCTCGGCTGACGCACATCAGTCCACGGCACTATGGAGAGTTCATAGAGTTCCTGAGCAAAGCGCGGGAGACTTTTCTGCTGGCACAGGACGGACACATTCAGTTTGCCCAGTTCATAGACAACCTGAAACAGATCTACAAGGGCAAGAAGAAACTGATGATGTTGGTCAGGGAGCGCTTCGGCTGACCTTACTGACCTTCTCTCACAGAGACCCTCTTCTTGGGGGAAGCAGTTACACTTCTGTGTTTCTAATTTAAGTTTTATTTCTTTTTATTTTCACGTATTTTGAGCCATTTGCTGACTGAGGTTTTATCCCGTTGTTCTCTTTCTTGAATGTGAACCAGGAAGTGTTCGCAGTACATTGCTCTACTTCATTAAGACTGCAAAAGGGGGGGAAAGGTTTGAAAAACTAGAAAAACAAAGCATTTTGCCCTCCTACTAATGTTAAATTTAGTGTTTAAAAAAAGGAAAAAAAGTCAAAAGAATGTGACTGCAAAAGCAAAACAAACTTTAGTTTTGTGGGGGTACATGATGATATGAAAACCAAATGATTTAGCTGTATGTACTGTTGAGCCAGAAGATGCTTTCAGCTGGGGTTAAGAAGAAGGAGAGGTTTTCAGAGTGGAAGAAGCATGTTATTCCCAAAAAAAATCCACTGAGGTCAAAAACACACATAGTGTTATTGTCATACCTCGACTGTACTGTCAGCTTTAACTTCTTGATCAGAAATGGCCTCTTTGTTTCATTCAGGGCATTTTAGAGTAGAGAGGGCAGAATACAGAACTCCCCATGTGTCTCTCTGCGGGGGAAGTCAGTACCTGCAGATTTAAAAACCTTCACCTGCTGGTTTCTGACAAATATCTAAAATAGGAAGTCCAACGATGCTTCACAGAGTGTGTGTTTTTAAATCCAGACGTCTGACAGTGACGTTCAGGCTGCTGCTTTAGCTAAGGTAGGGTAGTCGAGTCTCTATATATAAATACAGTATATCTGTTATGCCCTCCTATAAGCTTATTTACAGTGACAAAATACAACTGTGAGAACCGGTGGAGTCTCATCCACTGCACTGCTCTTCAGCTATTTGTGGCCAAAACCTTTTAAACGTGCAAGACTCCAGCACCCACTTTACCATCACTACATTGAGATTTAGTCAGCAAGCAATATAAATCAAGCCTCTGCTTCGTTTTTATCACTAAAAACAAGTTCACTTTCTGGTGTTGTGCAAAGAAGCGTTGGAACCTGTTGGGGCCTTGTTGATTTCACTGACTGTTAGTTCTGCATGTCGCCGAAGTCCCTTTTCCATCACAAGAACTGGAAATCAGATGCATTACCTCAAAGGAATGCATCCTCAGCTGGTTCATGATGCTGGCTCAGTAATCCTTAAAACCGCAGAATGAAGTTTGAGTTCTGTGGTCATGTGTCTTAACCAACATTAAGTGCATTTCTTGTAGATGTCACCATGCTAGTTTTGCTAAGTTGGGCTTAGACACATCTGCAAATGTTTCCTTTGGCATCATGTCTCATTGTGAAATTTGGCTTAGCAATTGGTTTTTAACTGCGATCATTTCAGCTCACTATTTGAATGGTTTAGTCACCAGAACCACCTGTTTAGGTTTAGATGAACATCGTGGTCTGGGTTCAGATACCTCCACTAACAACACATTCCACTTTGAAACAAAGTACTAAAGGCAGAGATGCCAAAGGTTCGATACAGAACATACTGGGAGTAAGAGCGTGTAGTGACATGTTGTAGTAAGAAAACGTCTCACATTATTCATTAATTAACATACAGTTTAATTTATGCATACAGTAAATGTGACATGCCTGCAATGACTATGTCTACACAGAGCCGCCACAGTGTCACTTTATCAGAAACTAGCAGTGTTATTTATGACAAATTTGAAAGGGACTTTAAATGGGGTTTGAAAAAATAATGAAAATTTAATACAATTTAGCCAAGTGGGTGGGAGGATCCATCTATCCATCCATCCATGCAGTTTCATAACAACTTGTCCACTTCAGGTTTGCCGGGTTGCTTGAGCATATCCCTGCTGTCATGAGTGATAGATGGGGCACAACCTGGACAGGTCGCACTCAAATTCACACTAACTGCTATTTCAGGATGACCAATTAATGTCTTTGGACTGTGGGAGGAAGCCACACCACCCAGAGAGAACCCAGGCAACAGAGAAAGCATATAATGTGCTAATGTCAGTGTGCTGTTAGCTTATTATTGCTGCTTGATGATAAAGAGATTTCAATAATTGTATAAAATTTTATGATTATATATAATAATTTAACCAGATGTGACCCTCTTTGGATGAGAGCAGGAAGTTGCTTATGCTAGCACTGGCTAGCTAGCTTGGTTTAGCGGCATGCATTCATTAAAATGAAAACAAAATCTACTCCCCAGAATCTTTTAGTCCAAGCAAAATTAGACATAAATGTAAAATGTTAAATATCAGGTGAGCAGCAGTAAATAAACTAGCCCCGTCATCTTTCCTTCAGTTTCTCGGTCTTGTGATGGAAAAGACGCAAAGTCACCTGTGAAAGCTGCTGGTCATGATCATCATCGACAGTGAAGATGAGTCCTCCTTGACTTTCTCACAGGGCCGCAGTGCAAACTCAAAGACTAGAGTTTACTTGATGACTTCATTGTATGTATTTGAGACCACATATCTTGGCACAGGAAGCCGTTTTCTCTTTATGGGGGATCTCCACACCCCCTTTTTCTTACCCAGTGGCAAAGTGTTGTTGTTACCAGCAGTAATGCAGTACAGAAAGAGCTTGAATCTTTTACTGGTCAGACTTAATGTCATCGTTTAAAGCACTTCACACGAATACCTCTTCAGTGCGTTCCTGCCTGCTTCAGCATTTATTTATTGGTAGAACACTTTTTGAATGGAGGAACATTTTCCTGTCTGCTTTTACATTCCACAAGAGCTACCTTCACCCAAAACCTGGGTAGTCAGTCACAACTCTGGGCCTTTACTTTCTTTCTCTCTGTCTTTTTTTGTTTTGTTTTTGTTTTTTTGGATCTGAAGAAATGCAGATAGAAGAATGGGAATGAAAAAAGGAAAACTGAGCAAAAAGAAGAGAGGCTAAACTCAGTTCTCAGGGACACCACTTAAAGAAACAAAACAAAAAGTAGTAGCATTTAGCATTTAAGATATTGTAAATACTAAAGTGTCAATTCAAAAAATTGTAAAGTTATAATTATTTATGATGTATGTTATGGTTTTGTTCTTTGTTTTTATGATTTTGATGGGGTGTACTTGAATTGTTTTGGACAGGGGTGTTTGACAGCTTTTTTTTTCTTCCTTTTTTTTTTGTAAGAGCAAAGACTTCAAGGCATTTCTCAGGTGCTCCTGTGTACATTTCTTTCAGTTTTTGTTTTTTGGATTTTTTTTTCTTTTCTTTTTTTTGCAATAATAGCTATTATTATTTGTATTTTATAGAAGATGGGGGATGGGGGGTGTTTTCCAAAAGTGAGCATGTTATTTGAAGTTGAGTAAAATGAGGAAGGCATTCATTTGTAAACGGATTCTTACTAAACCTGACTATGCAGAACCACTTCAATGGTGTTGTCCCCTCTTTAATATGCCCCCTTAAAACTGAGTGCAGAGACCCAGTGGGTTGAACCACTATTAATGAGGACGGGGGTGTTGCGGACGAAAAGGAGACCCATCACGCTTGTATTCGGACAGTGCACAGTGGCCGGCCTGTTTCCGCTGCAACGTTTAGAGGAGACGAAAAAGCGAAAGACGGTGGAAAATGCCTTTCTGGTCGATCAATGTACAAAAGTTGTTAATTTTTTATTTGTTTTGTTTGTTTGTTGGTTTTCTTTAATCAGGACTAAAGCCTTCAGTGTCTTCTCAGAGGTGTCGCATTGTGCGGCAACACTGTGGTGAGACGAAACGATACGCAAATGTCTAGAAACGGCAACTGTATGAACAAAAAAAAGAGACGGCTTGTGGATGACCTCGTGCTCATTCCTTCTAACTTTTTAAAAAAAATGCTTTCTCAGTTCCTCTTCACCTCATTAAACTGGCTGAGTTCAGGTCTTCTATAGTTTTGTTTTCCCCTGATGTTCTTGAACACCTCGATCCCTCTCGCACAAGGAGGACGTTGGATTTAAAGCCAGTTGCGTTTAAGTGCGACTATCCTGAAACACGTTGACATCAGTGCGCTACAGTAGCTTTCAGAAAACGAAATAAAGCTGCGAGGTTTCTACATAATGAGCATAATGAAATGATACATTGATTTTTTTATTTTTTTTATTTTTTGATAATATATTAGGAAAATAATTTTGCCGGGGAGCTCCAGTCGGCTGCCTTTATGTGATGCATTCACTGACAGCATTGCAGCAAAGTTTTCCTTGCTTTTCTTTTCCTTCTTTATTAACTAACTCAGCCAGTTCCTGGGCGTTTTTCTTTGTTGTCCCCGTCTGTCTTTGGTTTGTAGGAGAAGTACTGTTTGCTGGTAGAGATCTAGTTCACCTACTGTTTTCCCAGTTTTTGTTTTTGAATTCTTTCCAACTTTAAGGGATATTTGAAAGTGTTTGTTGCCTCTTTGTGCTACTGATTATGAAAAGGTATCTCCAGTATTTGTTGCCACAGAAGTATCATAGCTTATCATCAACACCTTTTCTTTTTTTGTAATTTTTTTTTTGTGCGACTTCTTGAGCTACTGTCTATAAAGCGAGAATTTATTACTATTTATGTAACGCTACTACCATTTTATATTGATTTGTGTTGGAATCTCAGTGCTTTTCTATGAATAAAGTGTGAAACACATTACCAGGATGTTGTTTGTTGAGCCAACATACATTAGTTTAAAGTTTGCCGGCGGACACTCTTGAATTATTTAATACATCACAAAAGATTGAAAAGCTCGGCATAGCGCAGCCATCTTTAAAGGTTGCCCTGTTAGTGGAAAATCCCCTTCACTGACCTCAGGACATCGTCAACACAATCATGGAAACCTTTATGGCGGCGTCTCAGTGAAAGTTAACCAGTTCGATAATGTACTCGTCTAGCAACAAATCAATTACTGCCTACTACACCTATGATGAAGCTAGATCGATGTATTTAGTCGTACAAAGTGTATTATTTGATCCTAAATTATTACTTGGTGATATTTAAAAACCCTCCAACCATCTTAAATTGTTTATACCTGGAACTGTTACCAATACATGCCCAGGTTAATTAATATTTTCAATTCAGTACTAATATCGTCTTACTAGTTGGAAATTGCACAAAATTGTTTTTGGAGGTTATTCCTAAGAGAAATCCCATTATGTTCATGTATTCCCCCCCCAAACACCAGGTTCTAATGAATGAGCCATTCAAACTGGTCTGACCTGAACTCAAAAAGGTTGATCAACATGGGACAGAATATGTCGTAATCATCAAAAACAGCAGAATAAAAAAATAACAATAAGGCAAAAAGAAAAAAGTAAGTCATACAAACAGGCTACATTTGATTATTTATCTTTGTTCTACTTCTGTGATGATTCTTTCCAGTTTTGCTTCATCATGTTTTTTCATTTCAGTTCCAAAGCAAAGCTCTCGTGGGTGGATATTATGGACCGGAAGTGAAACAAGTGGTAAGACTTCAGTAATTCCCCCACCAACTTCTCCTTCTATTTTTTACCTCTCATGCAATGTGATTTAACTACTCGTTTAAGCATCTCTCCTTTCTTTCCAGTTAGACTTTTGTGTTCCCTTAACTCATTTCAAACTTGAAATACGCAGATAATGAGCAAAACTGTGAATTTATAATACCCAACTTGTAAGAAACTTGAATTACATTTAACAAATCTCAAGCTCTGTGACAGCAAGTGATCCAAAGTGGCTAAAAGCCTGCATTCTTCCCAGCTGCTGTGGTGCAGTCCTTACAATTTCACCCATCCAACCAATCTGCCTGAGTGGCAAATGAAGCACACGGAGACTGATAGAGTTCCATCAATATTTCACTAATTTTTCTCTAATCAGAATATTTTTCTTCTATCCCGCCTTCACTGCTTCATTCTCTCTCATTACAGATTTCTGCAGAGCCATATAAGCAGACAATCAGGGCATCAAGAAGCATTTAAGTGTGCTCGTAACTCCATGTATGTGTGTGCACGTCCCTGTGTGTGCATGTGCAAGTGTAAATCTAGATTGATTGGCTGAAGATAAATGAGCAGATTTATATTAATTATCCAGACAGATAGATGGAGGAGTGATTGCTATAAGCCCAATCTTTTTTTCGCCTCACTTTCCACTGCCCCCCACCCTACCCCACCCAGCCTGTCTCGCTCTGCCCCTCCTGCTCATACTTATATTTACTCAGACACAGAAACACTAAACACATGAGCAAACGAGCTGCGTTTTAACCAATCACACGTTTTCTCTGGTGTACTTTTCCCTTTGCATACACTTAACCTGTTGGATAACTAAACTAAGTGCGCGTCCTGTCCCGAGCACAACAACAAGACCTGTCTGTGCAAGCTTCTACAGTCACTACTTGGATGTGACTCCTTTACCGTGAACTATTACATCAGTGTGACGTGGTTTCATGCAGGATATCAGCTGTGGCACTGCTGAGCTGTTACTGAAGCCCAGATTGCTTTAATAGCAACCTTAAGCTCATTTTTCTCTTGTTGTATATTCTCTGTGGGGTTCAGGCCAGTCGAGTTGTCTGATCAGTCAGGAAACTGTTTGGTAGCAGTTTTGGCACTGTGGGCTGGTGCTAAGTAAGGAAATCGGCATCTCCATAAAGCAGATGGAGGCATGAGGTAGACTGCTGCATTCACTTTGGACTTGATAAAACAGAACGGACCAACCTGCATCCCCAGCACATGACGTGGCACCCAACTTCACTGTGGATTGTATGTTTCTCCAGTCTTCCTCCAGGCTCTGGGAAATTAGTTCCCAAAAGGAATGCAAAACTCGCTTTCATCTGCAACAGTTTGGACCACTGAGCAACAGTTGTTCTTTTTAGCTCAGACTGAAACCAGCCTAAACTGACTCCTTGTGAACTTTCCATTAATACACACATACAGCACTCTGAACAGCCAAGATTTTCAGCAACCACCTTCTGTGAGATATGAAGTTAGCTTTTTAGACCACAAACTTACTTTAATAATTGTTTTTCTTCAATTTTATTTTATTTTAAAATTGTTGTTGTTTTTTTCTGTAATATTGTACATCTTTATTCTACAATACAAAATGTCCTGAGGCAACTGTTGTTGTGATTTGGTAATATATAAGAAAAATGTATTTTAATTAGACTTCAGAGTCAGAAATGATGTCCATCTTTTATATACAGTATATGGTAGTGCCACATATACACTGGTGGTCCTCTAACTTGTCCAAACATAACTTGAATCGTGACAAAGCAAGAGCACGTGACAGCTTTTGAGTGTAAACAGAAAAACATGTTAGCACTATAGTGAGCACACTGAGGAGCTGAACATTGAAAGTTTTTCCTTTTGGCTCATTTTTTTTCTTTCTTTCTTTTTTTTTTTACCTTCAGCTTATTTATTTTTCTCCATTCTGGGGGGGATTTTATTCAGTCCTAATGACACAATTTAAAGTCATACCATCAGAGCGGTTTCTTTAATGGTCACATAGCTTTGGAAAGCCCCTCCTCCCACACCCGCCGTTCTTCAATTCCATCAATGGTGCAAGGTCCTTGGGGACCCATCCACTCTTATCCAAATGAGTGTGACGCTATGACACAGGATCATTTGCGAGTAACTTAGTGACAGCAGAGGTTAATATCAACATGGCGTACATGCTGAAATACTAAGGTATCACCGGCAAAGAGAGACTGTCACAGCTGTCAGCATCTGCATTAGCGTCTCAAGGTCCTCGGACTAAAGCCAGAGTTTCACTTCCTGCCTCCACCTCCCTCCATCCCTCCACACAACCACTATGATAATAACGCCCATCAGTCTCTGTCACAGTGGGCTGTGTGTGTTCTTTCATGCATGTGCTTATTGAAAAATTGTGTGTGTGTGTGTGTGTGTGTGTGTGTGTGTGTGTGTGTGTGTGTGTATTTGTAAGGGGGTGGTCACTGATAAAGCGCTGATAGTGTCCATCCATGGCAGATGATGTACAGCCTGCTGTCTCTCCAGGCAGATTGGATTTTCTGGCCTGCTGATTTGCTGAGAGATGGAGCCGGGACCTCCTTCAAAGGCACCCTCTCTCACTCACTCACTCACTCACTCACTCACTC